CAGATCTTTAAAATCACTTTGCATTTTCTTTCTTCTTTATTTCTCATCTCTACATGACGAAGAAGAAAATGTATATCTTGGGGTAACGGAAGAATTTCAAACAAGAATTGAAAATGTCTACTATTTCCACGGAATTGACTTTTCGTTGATCCCTGCGGGAGGGGGTCTTTAATGAGGATACAGAATCGAGTGCCAACGGAAGAATTTGCGACTGTCTATTCTTATCACGTCATTGTCCTTACACTGACCTCTATTACGCGTGGATTTAATGGAACTACAAAAACTAGTACGAGAATGTCCTGACAGCGAAAGAGCTTGTCCTTTGCGTTAACCCCTTATATGGGAGATTTTAATGGAGTCATTGAATCAAGTATCAAAGTACTGTGGGACAGTTTATCAAACCTTTCTTGTATCTATTTCTGTCGGGGAGGCGAAACAAGAGGAAACAACATACATCCGCACAAGAAAAACATATTTATCAGTCGATATATTGTGTTAAAAACGAAACAAACTTCGGAATTCTATCTCGAAAAAGGTGTGGAATAATGCAAGCAATTTTATATCGCCAAAAGGTGCTTTAATGATCGTCAAAACTTTCTTATGTTTTAATTCTATTATCCAACTAATTCAAGTCTCAAGAGCCGCTCAAAGAAGAGCGTTACTGAATAAGGTTGTTGCAAAGACTATAAAGACGTGCTTGTTATATAAGGATATATGAGGATATATAATGGGATAAACCCTAGACTTCAATGCCTTAAGATCCTAAGGATAGGAGAAACATACCCGTGTGCGTCTGTTCAACAAAGTAAGTCTTCGGAACAAATGAACATAGCAATGGAATAGCGAGAGATTGACAACTTTTTGTCCTTGGGAAAGTGGATAGCAGGGTGGCAAATAATCCATCACCTACAAGGCCGTGTGAACGCTTTAGAAACACTGTCGAATCTAGAAAGTGAGGATTGGACAGACACAGCTCAGATGTAGCAGCAATGCTCCAATTTGATATAATCTGACACTTTGATAAATCCTGGAAGGAGGTGTTTGGTACTTTCTGATTCGCTACAGATGACCAGCCATTTCCCAGCAACTTTAGCAATGAGTCGTGTATACACTTATTATTTCATTTAAATCGCTTGTAAATTTTGACGCCTCAAAAACAAAACTGCTTTTATATAACCACCATAGATAACCTTTTTCTGTCTGCCATTAGAATAGCTGAAGCCAGACTTTCATAAGGGCAACACACTGGCGCCTTCTTGGCCTCACATTTCCCACTGACATGAACTGGAGCGAATACTTTGAACCATTAGCTGCATCTACTGAAAGGAAATTTGGGTTTCTGTGTCGTCACAATCAGTGTCCAGCTTGCACATTTACAAACGTTGCATTCGCCCATGCATTGAATATTGCTGACATATCTGGCCTGGTGCTCCTGCTGCACATCTCTAGGTTCTTGACAAAATTTACAGAAGGGTCTGTAACATAATCGATCTTGACATGGCATCTCGAATTCAGTCACTTTCTCACTGATGTAACGTGGATTCCCTCTGCCTTTTCTACAAATATTTTCATGGAAACTATTGTCGGGATATTTTTACCTTGAGGCCCCGACCACATGAAGTTTAGCATCTAGGTCCTACTATTTTACTGTTGAAAAACCTAAATGCAACCGGCACTTATACCCCGAGAGTTTATTTTCTCCTACTTCCCACCTGTGTAACTCCCTTCCGTTTACTTGATTCGCTGATATCCATGATCTTCAAAAATTTAAATGAAGCATCAATCGCCATCTTCTGTCTTCTTGAATCCCATTCATCTTTTGTCCTTTCCTCAATCATCCCTATTCTCAGTCTTCTCTTTCACTTTCACACCCTGCACCCCAACTGCGTGCTAGTGGCATTACAGCCTTGTTTGGTGTGAAATGATTTAAACCATGTTTAGTTTGCGCTTCTGCCCCAATAGACTTTCAAGTTAAAGAGCCTCATTGAGAGTATAACCATTCAGGGTTCTGATCAATGATAATAAAAAGGTAGCTAGCTTTGTTTTGGGGGTATTGAATGTTACAAGACACTCCTGTTTAGCAGATGAGAGACTTTGGTGATCTCGAGTTTTGGAGGTGCATCCATAGATCATGCTATCGTGTGATTATCTATTTACTAACGATCTGAGAATGTTCTTCAGCGGATTGTTAATATAAAGCAGAAAGAGAATATGACCGATAAGAAAGCCTTGGGGGACGCCTGCACGGTTTCAGAAGACAGGCAATTAACAACGCCTTTCATGAGTAGGTTCTTCCAGAGGTGCCATATATCTGGGAGCCCGTGTAGCAACCCCCATGCTACACCTTGTCAAAAGCCTTTGAGATATCGAAATCGATTGCACTCGTGATGAATTTATTATGAAGTTGTTAGCATATTTGATGAATAATGCAGAGTATCGGAAATTTTGCCGCAAGGCCTAAGAATTCGAAATCGAAATATACTACCGACCAAAAGTTTAGGGTCATATTAATTTTTTTTCCCTCTAAACTTAAAAATGAATCAGGTTTCTTGTCTTGAAAGAAATACAATTATGCAAGAATTTAAATCAAAATTATTGAGGTGACTCATTTACATATGGTGTCTCAAAGAAAGTAGTGAAAACTTATGTCAATGCACGACAAACGTGAGAGTGAATTCGAGAGTAATATAGACTCTGAAGATGATCAATCTTTGGAGGAACACTCCTATGAAAAAGAAAAAGATCACGATCTCTCATATCTCGGTAATCAAGGGAGAGAAGCGAGTGAGGGGGACAAAGCCCCCCCCCCCGAAGAATTACCAGGGAAAATAAGAGGATATAACCTCTTCGGTACAGGGAGATAAGGTGACTCATTTACATAGGAAGTCAAAAAAGACTATAAATAGCTACGGTTATTACCCATGAGGCAATTGAGAGCATACTACTTCCTCTGTGTTAGTAACACTACACTACAATGATATTTTTCTGTCAGCATTTGTGCCGGTTTCTGTATATCACCGCAGGCAATAAGGCACCCCATTTTGTGATAGCTGTAATTTTCTAGAAATCTGACGTTCCGAATAAATTACCTTTCTATAGAAAGAATTTCCACTTGGGCTCTTTTTTCAATACAAATCTGTTTAGTTCTTGGCATTTTATCGGTTTCTCAAAACTAATTTCAATCACACATTAATCTTGATGGAATTGAACCTCTACATAGCAGTGGAGTTGAAATATTTGTAAATTTCTACTCGACAGTTCAGAAAGGGTATCAGGTTTTAACAAAATTTCCAAAGCATACGCAAATAAATTTATAATGCTTGTATAAAAATTTGTTTGAATTTTGTATAAGCATATATACATAATAGATGAATTTATTTATCCAAATAAGCAAAATTAGCCTTTTATGAACATGGAAAAACAATTCAATGTCGTCCCAAACCTTTGATCAGTAGTGAATGTTTGCCTCTAGTAATATTATGTCATCGATAAGATATTATTCATATTTATAAACCGTTGCAGGCTTTGATACATTTTTCAGACTAACATCTCCATCTTTCTTGTTTTAGCACTGATTTATGAATTATACATCCTGCGAAATGAAACAAATGAAAAGAAAACACTACTGAATACAATATGTTTGCGATGAAAACTAGAAAATATGCTGGTTGGAGGTTGTGTTAAAAACAGTAAGAACGAAGACAATAATATCTGCTTGAATTTCTGAACATTATTTAGATTATTTACATTCTGATTAATGCCCTCATCTTCGTGGTTATAAAAACACAACGTTTCGCCTGTTTTACCCTCCGTCCTTCTTCAGGTACTTGTCAATCCAGATAACCTTCAAGGAATTTCAAACTGAAAACTTTATGTAATCTATGGGGGCAGATTGTTCCTGTTTTGCTGTCCATGTCTAGGGACATCAAGTCATTTTTTTTTAATTTTAGTACTGCCCGTTGAGGGTTCAATTCAAAATTACCTTGAAGATAACCCGGATCGAGAAACACTTGAAGAAGTCCGGAGGAAATAACGGTCGAAACCTTGTGATAATAACAATAAAGATGAAGATATTAGCTAGAATGTAAATACATTCGTAGAAAAAAATCAGGTAATATTTTTTTTTTATAAAATTAATCTTAGAGTTTCTAGCAATACGTGGAGACCAGAACATATATTGGCTAAAAGTTTATGTTAAAATTAACGTTCCAAAAACAATAATGCAAAACATATGCTAAATAATAAAAAGGCATCAGTTCATATTGTTTTTATAAAACTCCGAAGAACGTGCAAAATCAAAGAAATGACGAAATTAATAAGAGTTTCAGTGATGGAAAAACTAAGCGTTTCCATCCAGGAAACATTGGCTGAATAGTTAGCGTTGCTCTTGGTTGAAGTATATAAAATACAGTTTTCAGGAAAGTGCACTTTTTAACCAAGGTGCCTTCTTAACGCTAAACAAAGTATTAAGGAACAGGAAAATTTATTTAGAAAAACAAATAAAAAAAAGTGCTGTACTGTTATGTAATATCAAGCCACCTATATGGCACTAAAAGATGAAAACGAAGCTTGAGATGTGGTTCTACAGAAGGATGCTGAGAATACCATGGACGAAGCATGCGAGTAAGGAAAAAGTTTTAGGGAAAAGGCAAACAAAAATCACGCTTATACTTAAAATCACAAAGCGATAGTTGAAATTTCTAGGACGCATAATGATTGCTTTGATTTGTTTTCTACGGCTTATCAGGTTAAGGTAACCCTTAACCTAACCCTAAAGGCAGAAAATATTTTAGATTGTAAGAATATTTTTTGGAGGTAATAATGCTTTAGTGATACAAATCTAACTAATTAACCCATAGCTGGGGGAGAATTGGTGGATTCATAATTTTCCCCAAGGTATTTTCATGTAAGTGAATATAACCAACCGAACGGGAATTGGAACTTGGCTCTGCGATTAACAAACCCGAGCCATTAACCATTACACCACCCGCACATCCAAGCTTACAGCCCCTGGTATTCTCAAGTGGCCATCCATTTAGGTACTGATCAGACTCGATGTTGCTTAACTTCGGTGATCGTACGGGAACCATTGTTTCAACGTGATGTGGCCGTAAGCCGACGCGAGGAAAGAACGTTTGGAGAATTTGATACTCACAGAATATTTTGCATGCAAGTAGCACAGACGGAAACGAGATTTTGTAAATGGATGGCAGTGCAGGAAGCAGGAAGAATAATGAGACAAACATTACTAAGGCTAGGAAGTTGTGGCGAGCTATGATCAACCTATTTAAACTGGATGGCAGAACAGGGAGTAGGTAGAATAATGAGAAACATTATAATGGCTAGGAAGTTGTGGCGAGCCATGATCAACCTATTTAAACTGGATGGCAGAACAGGGAGCGGAAAGGATAATAAAAAAGACCAACTTTGAAGTTGAAGAGAACCATGATCGCTTATATCCCGAAGGAACTCGGTACATAGAAGAATCGAAAAATATTCAGAATAAGGAAAATACTGAAAAGAACACTAGACAATGTCGAAGAATTATTGTGATTAAAATTGCAAATCTATTTGTCGGAAGAATTTGCTAAAGAACGAGAAGATTTCGTCTTCGACCCTGAAGAAATAGTTAAATCCATAGTTCTGCTGTAAAAGAATCGGTCTTAAGTATCTCCTACAGAATTTCTTGTCAGTTGAACACCTAATCCAGAGGCTTAAAAAGCAAACAAGTTAGTCCGGCCAACAAATCTATAAATATTCCCAGCGACCTTTAACCACGTCACACAAGACGGAATACAACTTGTATCTATATCGGTCTTTTCTGTCAGTGTTCAAGGTATTATTGATTTCTGCTCTGTCGATACAACACACGAGTTAATGCATCTCTGAGCACCTGTTCGTTGACGCTGATACCGAACGGCTTCGATTCAGGTCTCCACGTCAATTTTGATTATCTGCCCTTGTTGTACGCTTTACGCCATGACTTTGTGCTGGCAAGCGTTCATATGTAACCGGCTACAAACACTGAATAGGAGGACACGACGATACGAAAGGTGTTGTTATTTCTTCTTCTTGCTTCCTCTGGCTTGTTGGCTAAATAAACGATATTGAAATGGCATTATCAAATTAGAAAATATTAATTCTCATAAGTCAATTAATGGAAATGTTGCTATATACTGATGACCAAATTGAGTCATTTTTACAAGAAAGCTTCTTTTCAGTTGGGCCATTTCTTTTGTTCGACGAAGCCATACAACAATAAACTTTACCAAACAAATGGACATACATGTAGAGTCGTATTTGTGATTAGTAATACTTTAAGCAAACTGCGAAATTAACAAAGATGAAATTCTTTCCTTCCTTCGCTTTTTCTTTCTTTTATTTCTTCTATGTTCTAATATTTTCTCAGGCTTATCCAAACTCTTACTGTCTTCCCTTTCTGTCCTTACCTCTTTTTTATGGGAGCGGAGGGAGCTTATCTTTATCAGATAATCCTGTCCGTTTCGCCTTGCAGCTAGCCGACCTCTTGTATTATCTCTTGACTCACAAAAGGCAGGCCTCAACACAATGACTTGGATCTTTTCTCCTGCAACGCCTGTCCCTTTCTTCGTTCTCATCTCCAGCAACGAAAGGTAAGCATTTCTCTGGCAGAGATCGACTTGTTATGCTAGACATTTCGGACTTGGTCAGCTTTCTTCTGGCTTCCAATTCTGCGACGCCAATACAAGACTTCTTACAAGTGCACATTTCAATGCTTCGTTTCAAATCAATTAAGTCACGCCAAGAAGAAAATAAATACAAGTCGTTTACTGAATATTTCACGTCACGTCTTTTACACGTCATTCCAAAATGCCTTTTCTTTCTTTCTTTCTTTCTTTCTTTCTTTCTTTCTTTCTTTCTTTCCCACCTTCCCGTTCTTTCTTTCTTTCTTTCTTTCTTACGAGTATCCCTTTCTTTAATTGTTTACGTCTGTCTGACATGACTTCTCTTTGTTTTTTTCAAGGTCGATGACACTCAGTAAAAAATATTTGTAGCAAAAAAACATTCAGTATCTGTTTATATTTCTGAGATGAGGTGTTATGTACACTATTTACATTATACTGACTATTGTCCTTATCTTACCAAACCTCCCAAGCAATGAACCTCAATGGCAGGTCATTTATTCATCACGACTGGAGAAAACCTTTCTGTGTGATGATGAAAAATTACTTTATTATTTAAAGAGAGAGAAAAATAAAAGAACAGGAATTAAGAAGACAAAAGATAACGATTTACATTGCATTTAAATTTTTGAAGATCAAAGCTGACAGGAAATCATGAAACCGGAAATGAGTTCCGCAGCCAAGAAACTATTAACATAGAACTTATATGGAGCAAAAGATTTACCGTAAAATATTTACTCCAGACAGCTTAAATAAGTCAAGAGATATTTGAACAGAACTGAACCCTTTATTTTGCTCGCTGGGATAGACTGTTCTAGTTCCACGTGCCATGTCTAATGGATGTCATCAGTTATCTCCTGTTAATTCACCTCTCCAAGTTCTCCACTGCGTTAACCAGGTATTAAACTCATATGGACGCATGGTACAGTGGATAAAGGCGTTAGTTAGATCCAGTGACAGTGAGTTGTTTTTTTTTAATACATACATTGTCGTTTGTTTTTATGTATATAGTTTTGTTGATAATTTATTCATAATTTACCTGGACTCACTTTCGAGTCCGCTATTATTCTTGTAGGAAAAATATACCAGGAGACATGTGTTTTCTACCTAAATACAACCAGCATCCCCGCAACATATTCACCGACTCGAAATATAGAGGGGAAAGAGGAAGATCTAAATTCTTATAAAATCTCATTTTCCGTTGAGTCTGTAGGGAGACAATAATTCCTTGGATTTGGGGTGTGGTTCCTGGCATCACGCGTCAGTTGGTCCTATGGGAAGTGAACACCTTTACAAAAGTTTCTTTACTTCATTGAATGGTTAACATCTTCCCAATTTCCTGAAATCCACAAAACGTGGAGAACGGACATTATCTTCACTGTCTTTTGTTGAGCAGAAAAGAGATCATGGGTCTCCAACTTCGGTGAGGCATTTTATTTCCTCTTGTCAGGAAAACCAGTCAAAGACATTGGCGTTTATCTTTTACGGGGGAGTAATGCATAGCGGCTCGGATTGAGGAATCAGAGAGCCGAGTTCGAATTCTAGTCGAATCCATTACATTCACTTATGGGCTAATACCTTTAGGAAAGGTATGAATCCGCTTCTTCCCCCTTCCCCAGCTATGGGTAAAATAGCAGGACAGACCGGGTCCTATAGCCATGGATAGCAACTGGTCTACCGCAGAAAGAAATGGCGACCTACTGCAGAAAAAATCTGCATCGAAAGATACATGATCACCTAAACGTGTATCACGCATGGCATATAACTGACTAACTGACCTCAGTTCAGAAATGTTTGTTCTTGGAGCAATGTGTATATTCATCTGATTTGGCACACGTGCGGATCGTTGTAACATTTTGCTGTAATATAATGCGCACTTATTAAATGTTTTAATCGTGTATGGGTATTTATCTGGACTTTCATTTCCGTTTGTTCATTTGTTAGTGTAGTAATAGATACATTAATGCTAATATTAGTACCTGTGCAGCGTGAAATTATTAAATATATTTCCTAGCAAATTTGCCACCAAACTGGTGGTAAATTATGATTGGCACATAAGCATCAGACTAATAAGTTTTTACACTAGAAGTCCATTGTGTGTTAAACCAAGAAAAACAGATATCGTTTGTGGGGAAGAAAAAATTTAAAAATAATAAAAGAGATAATAATAAAAAGAAAAAAAATCAAACTCGCTAGGTACAGTGTAACCCGGATATAAGAGAAACCGGATATAAAAGAAACCCGGATATAAGAGAGATTTTCTCTGGTCCCAAATTAGAGCCTAATGTATATAAAATAGACCAAACCGGATATAAGAGAAACCCGGATAAAGAAATCCGGTTCGGGTTTACACTGTATGTAACCCGATATAAGAGACCCGGATTTTTTCTCTGGTCCCAAAGTGTTCCCATACTTACCTAAACAAAATAGACCAAACCCGGATATAAGAGAAACCCGGATATAAGAGACTTCTTCTCCGGTCCCGACAACTCTCTTATATCCGGTTTACACTGTACAGTGTAACCCGGATATAAGAGACCCGGATATAAGAGAGATTTTCTCTGGTCCCAAAGTGTTCCCATACTTACCAAAATAGACCAAAATATAAGAGAAACCAAACCCGGATATATCCGGGTTAGTAACCCGGATATAAGAGACCCGGATATAAGAGAGATTTTCTCTGGTCCCAAAGGTCCCGACAACCTAAACAAAAATCTTAACCCGTATATAAGAGAAAACCGGGTATAAGAGACTTCTTCTCCGGTCCCGACAACTCTCTTATATCCGGGTTACACTGTACCTCTTTTGACGGCAAAGAAGTATTTATTCATTATCTTTTCATTCAATAAAAACACATATCGATGTCTGTTACTCGTATATGGCCACAAGGTAAAGTGACATATTCTCATATCTTTGTTTTAATAAATACATAATTTTTGATGATGCGATATCATAATTACTCTCCATAAGGAGATATCATAATTACTCTCCTTATGGAGAGTAATTATGATATCGCATATAAATGTCAGTGAATTATTGAGTTTTTCCGGCAAAATTTGTGGTCAACAACTTGAAGGGGGCGAGATGTTCTTCTGTCGAAGAATGCTGAAAATGTCATAGACAAAGCATATAACAAATTAGGAAGTTTTGAGGTTTCTGAGAATAGGAAAAAAGGCAGATAAATGTTTTTAGCAAATATAATGAGCAAAGAAGGATTGAAGAATTTATCACCGAACAGAAACGTCAAATATAAAAGTGTTATAGTAGAATAACCTATCACACCCCGACAGTGATTGGTCAGTCTAAAGAGACGTGAATGAGGAGAAAATAAAAGACGTGACGAAGTACTGTAGTAGCAGTACCACTACGGACCTCTGTGACGTACCTTCCGCTTTCCTTATTATTATTATTATTATTATTATTATTAAGAACTCTTACTCATTGTATTTTCC